TAGTTCCTTTTATTGTGGTGTTGGTGGTCTTACTGTGATTCATTGCTCATTTTCTTTTAATTTTTGTAGGGACATTATCTGTATCCTGTGTTTTTTTTGGGGGGTATAGTTGTTTTTGTTGGATTGGAGTTTTCCTTGTAGTATATTCCGTAGGGATGGTTTGCTGTGTAGAAATTGCTTAAATTTAGTATTAACAGGGAATGTTTTGTTTTCTCCATCTATGTTTTTGACAGCTTTGCTGGGTATAATAGTCTTTGATGGCATCTGTGGTCCCTTAAAGCCTGCATGACACTGCCCAGGCCCTTCTGTCTTTCATAGTTTGTGATGAAATATTCGCTGTGATTCTGATAGGTCTACCTTTATATGTTACTTGACCTTTTTCCCTTGCTGCTTTTAATATCTTTTCTTCTGTATATTTACTGTTTTGACAATGATGTGACATGAGGATTTTCTTTCTGCTCTAGTCTTTTTGGTGTTCTGTAGTCCTCTTGTATGTTTATGGACATTTCTTTAAGTTGGGGAGATTTTCTTATATGATTTTCTTGAAGATATTTTCTGGTCCTTGGAGACTGTAGTCTTCTTTTTCATCAATTCCTATTTTTTTTAAATTTCACCTTTTCATGGCGTCTTTGATTTCTTGTGTTTTGTTTGTGTTTGTTTGAGACTTTTCCGATTTTACTTTTCTTTGAAAGAAGTATCAAATTCTGCAAGCATATCTTCAGCGCCAGAGATTCTCTCTTCCATCTCTTGTATACTGTTGGTGATGTTTACTTTTGTGGCTCCTGATTTTTTTTCTAAGTTCTCCATCTGTAGGGTTTTCTCTGGTTGAGTTTTCTTAATTGATTCTAATTCTATTTTTATATCTTGTACCATTTGCTTCATCTGTTTGAATGTGGCTTCTTGTCTCTGTATGATGACCTCTATTTTTTTTTGTTTGTTTCTTCTGTATATGCCACTAATTTTGCCTCTACTTGTCCGTCTATTTGCATGGCTATTCTTCTGGGAGATTTTTCTGTTTCCTCTTTATGTGTCTCTAACAATTGGATAAGCATATCTTTAAGGTCATTTTCCTGTGTTTCCTAAGAATTTGAGTATCCATTGATTTTCAGGGTTGCTGGTGAGGCCACAATTTTCTGACTTTTGTTGGGTGTGTTCTTTCGCTGACCTCTGGCCATTTCTTTATCTGTAACCTTCACTGTTTGTTCTTGGATTCTGCAGATCAGATTGGTACCGTCTTTCTCTGGTGTCTGGAGAATTCTTCATGGAGATGAGAGAGGTCCAATGGTGTCAGTGTGTGCATTGGTTTTTTAACTGTACCTGTGGGACGAAGTCCCTGGGTGCAGAAAGACAAGTTTGTATGTGTGCGTGTGCATGGAAGTTTGCCTTGAAGGACAGGGTGCTAGAGAATGTAGAAGCCTTTAGTGTGAGGGAAGGGTCCCTTGTGTTCACCGAAGGGGTCGTAGGCGCTGAAGTTATCGCATGAGCAGGTTAAGATTGCATGTGCAAATTTCCTGGGTATGTCGGTGGCCTGCAGGCTACTGATACTTGTCTCTAACTGAGCTCTAGAAATTTTTTGCCTAAACTCCACTGGTGGCACCACAGATCCAGTGTTTCCATGTCCCAGGATACCCTTTGTTTCCTGCAGTGGATATTTGGGTAGATTTCTGGTGTCTGGCTGCTAGCTTAGAAGCACCCTGGATCTGGGGCTCTGCAGGCACTTTACTAGGCCCAAAGTAAAGTGCCTCTCTCCAATCCCAGCGAAGTCCATGTCTGACCTCCCTCTCTAGCAGGTCAAATCATAAAGCACAGGAGGAATTCCTTCTGATCTCTACTGGCTGGTTTGGACCTGCCGAGCCAAATGTGCACTCAGACAGCTCATTGGTGTTGTAGCCCCTGTAGCTGGAGTCCAGCTGCGGCTGCAGAACTGGGGTGTCCTTGTGCCTGCCAGGAAGTCTGTGGGGCCAGTACTGTGGTTCTGTGCTTGGTGCACCTAGATGGTTTTGCAGGTTCTCCACAGCATGTGAAGCACAGCCACTGGGTCTGCCACTGAGGGACTAAGTCTGCCACTGAAGGACTAAGCCTCCCATACATTATGGTCAGGCTCTGTGGAGTTGGTACAGCCGGCCGCTCTTGGGCATGGAACCCAAGCAGCCTTTTACCATGGATATCTGGCTTGGCAAGCAGGTTAGGCTGTAGGCTGAAGCTTCTGTGCTAGTATTCCCACCTCTGCTGTCTCAGCTTTCAGGCAGCACGAGCACTAGTGCTTTGGCTCGGCTACTCCGAGGGCGAAGGAGGCCCGAAGTAAAGTGCCTCTCTCCAATCCCAGCGAAGTCCATGTCTGACCAATTTCGAAATTTTCAGTCCTCTGGCTCTCAGAAATGATGTGCACTGATCGCCACCATCTTGCCTCTAATCTTATATTTTTATATTAATTAGAGCTTATTCACTTTGTATCCCAGCTGTAGTCCCCTCCCTCCCAGTCCCACACTCCCTCCCTCATCTCATCCCATTCCTCTCTCTAATTCCACTGACAGAAGAGGTCCTCCTCCCCTTACATCTGACTCAAGCTTATGAGATCTCATCAGGATTGTCTGCATTGTCCACCTCTGTGGCCTGGAAAGTCTCCTCCACCCCCTTGGGGGGTGGTCAAAGAGCCAACCACTGAGTTCATGTCAGACATAGTACCTGTTCCCCTTACTAGGGTGCACATGGATACTGAGCTGCCATGGGCTACCTCTGAACAGGGGTTCTAGGTTATATCCATACATGGTCCTTGGTTGGATTAAAGTCTAAAAAAAAACCCCTGTGCCTAGATATTTTGGTTCGGTTGCTATCCTTGTGGAGTTCCTATCCTCTCCAGGACTTGCTAACTCCCCTTTTTTTTCATATGATTTCTTGCACTCTGCCCAAAGTTTGGTTATGAGTCTCAGCATCTGCTTTGATACACTGCTTGGTAAAGTCTTTCAGAGGCCCTCCGTGGTAGGCTTCTATCCTGTTTCCTGTCTTCTCCTTCTTCCAATGTCTATCCTGTTTGTCTTTCTGAGTAAGGATTGATCATCTTGTCCAAGGTCCTCCTTCTTGCTTAGCTTCTTCAGGTGTGCAAATTTTAGTATGTTTATCCTATATTATAGGTCTAGTGTCCACTTATAAGTGAGTATATACCTTGTGTGTTTTTCTGCTTCTGGGATACCTTACACAGGATGATCTTTTCTAGATCCCATCATTTGCCTGCAAATGTCATGATTTCCTTGTTTTTAATTGCTGAGTAGTATTCCATTCTGTAAATGTATTACAATTTCTGTATCCATTCTGCCCTTCAGGAACATCAGTGTTTCCAGGTTCTGGCTATTACGAATAAAGCTGCTATGAACGTGGTTGAACAAATGTCCTTGTTGTGTACTTGAACATATTTGCCTATATGCCTAGGAGGGTATAGCTGGATCTTGAGGAAGCACTATTCCTAATTGTCAGAGAAATTGCAAGATTTGGGGATGCAAGATGGATCTGAGAGTGATACACCGAACAAGGGCAATGCATAGAGATAACCTAGAATCAGATGTAGCCCATGGCAGCTCAGTAAGGGGAACAGGGATTGTATCTGACATGAACTCAGTGGCTAGCTTTTTGACTGATTCCCCTGGATGGGGTAGCAGCCTTGCCAGGCCACAGAGGAGGACAATACAGCCAGTTCTGAGGAGACCTGATAAGCTAGGGTCAGATGAAAGGGGAAGAGGATCTCTCCTCTCTGTGGACTTGGAGAGGGGCATAGGAGATGAGGGAAAGAGGGGGGGATTGGGAGAGAAGGAGGGAGAGGGCTACATTGGGATACAAAGTGAATAAACTGTAATTAATATAAAAAAGAAAATAATTAAAAAGAAAGAAGGAAAGAAAGCACCCGATTGATTTCCAAATTAGTTGTACAAGTTTATATTCCCACTAGCAATGGAGGAGGGTTCCCCTTTCTCCACTTCCTCTCCAGCATGTATTGTCACTTGAGTTTTTGATCTTAGCCATTCTGATGGGTGTAAGGTGAAATCTCAGTGTCGTTTTGATTTGCACCTACCTGATGACTAAGGATGTTGAGCATTTATTTAAGTGTGTCTCTACCATTTGATATTCCTCTAAAGAGAATTCTCTGTTTAGCTCTGTACCCCATCTTTAAATTAGGGTACAGATTTAAATTTTAAAATAAATTGTTGCTTTTTACCTTCTCAAGCTCTTTATATATTCTGGATATCAGCCCTCTGTCAGATATAGGGTTTGTGAAGATCCTTTCCAATTCTGTAGGCTGTTGTTTTGTTCTGAAGACAGTGTCATTTGCTTTACAGAAGCTTTTCAGTTTCATGAGGTCCCATGCATTGATTGTTGATCTTAGAGCCTGTGGTTGGTGTTCTGTTCAGGAAGTTGTCTCCTGTACCAATGAGTTCTAGGTTTTCTCCCACGTTTTTCTTCTAACCGATTTAGTGTGCCTGGTTTTATGTTGAGGTTTTTGATCCATTGGACTTTACTTTTTGCAGAGTGATAAATATGTATCTATTTGCATTTTTCTGCATGTAGACATCCAGTTAGACCAGCACCACTTGTTGAAGATGCTGTCTTTTTTCCATTGTATGATTTTGGCTTCTTTGTCAAAAATCAATTATCCGTAGTTGTGTGGAATTATTTCTAGGTCTTCTATTAGGTTCCATTGATCTACCATTCTGTGTTTATGCCAATACCAGATCATTTTTAATACTATTGATCTGTATTACTGCTTGAGATCAAGGATGGAGATACTTCTAGAAGATCTGTTGTTGTATAGGATCGTTGTGAAAATTCTGTGTTTTTTTTTTTCCATATGAAGTTGAGAGTTGTTCTTTCAAGATCTTCAAAGTATTGTGTTGGTATTTTGATGGGAATTGCATTGAATCTGTAAATAGCTTTTGGCAGGATGGTTATTTGCTTTTTTTTTTAAACCTTGAGAGATATGTTATTTAAAAAAATTATTTTTCTTTCTGCAGGAGTGAAGAACAGAAAAATGTCCTGTCAGAATTTCAAAGAGAATTAAATGAATTTGTTTTGTGGTTGGAAGAAATAGACAACATTGTGACTACTCCACTTGTAGATGATCAGCAGCTAAAAGAAAAGCTCAAACAAGTCAAGGTAATTTTGCTTACTGACATCCCCAGGGCCTATTCGTATCAAGCACATATAAATCTATTTTAATCTTTTGAATTTTTTATTTACTGCCTATTATATTATCTGTAATTATTACCAATGTGTTTTTTGCCAGCCTTAAGTTTCCTTTACCAAATTACTGTCAATTAACACACACACACACACACACACACACACATATATACATATACATATATATATACACATACTTACACATGAACACACATACATACATATGGGTATATATAGTTTTGTTTAGATATTTTCTTTATACATGCATAGAACTTAGCAGTTACTTCAAAAAACTTTTTAAAATAATTTTTAGAGTTATTGAATTGTATTCTGCAATTTCAAATGATTTTTAAAACTGAAGGTTAATATGTGAAATCAATGTACATACACACATGCATTCATATATATAGACTTTCCAAGATGTTTTATTCTACATCACTAAAGACTGTGAGTCTCACTAATAAAGAATAACATTCTTTTAAAGACATTCATTGTTAAATGATATTATTTCAGTCACTACTTAAAGATTTTACATTCACCAAAACTAGTGTTTAGCTTGGGCTTATTTCATGTGAATGTTGACATTTTTACATTGGTTTACATTCCATTCTGGTCAATAGACACACAGCATATTCAAGAGATGATTTTGTGGCGTGTGTGTGTGTGTGTGTGTGTGTGTGTATTCATACTGTGATATTTGCTTTCCCTTACCTGGCTCACTAATGAAACCTAATTTTACATATAATTTATTTTTTATGATTTAAGTTTTAGATTAAGAAGTCTTTTAAAACTATATTATTTTAATTCATAAAGGAAAGAAAATGGAAATTAATATGTATCATGTATTGTGTGTCAAATATGAGATTGATTTACAACTCCAACTTTATTTAGACTTCATATATAGCTTTGTAACTGGTTGATATTCCTGCCATTGTAGAGGATTATAAAATAAAATAATAGAATTACTTATTTATTATTGATTCATTTAATTTACTCAGGCAAATTATAGTTCAAATTGTATCCTATCTTGGCCTTGAATACAAAGGAAAACCAGCTGCATAATAAAGTAAACAAAATTTGAAGACACACTGTATATTAGATATTATACAGTGTATTTGACATTTCAGAGCCAATTGTAGACCTTGGAAAAAAAACAATCCCAGTCCATTTTGGAAATCTATCTTTCCTGAATGTATTGAGTATCGTATGTAGCATTTAATTTATAGTTCTTTGTTGGACATTTTTAGTAGCATTTATTTAGAAATAGATATACATTGATCTATTATTCATGGACAACGCAGATAATATTTTTCAATAAAACTTTCTATGAAGATATATAAGGTGTTCATTATCCATTTCTCTAACCGCTATGTATAATTATGTGTCTTATGAAAACTGGTTTGTATGAGTAAATGAGGAGGTTTTATATTAAAATGGATTTTTTAAACTACTGTGTTACATGCTGCAATTCTAAATCAAATGTAGTTAAGAACATTGTGGTATATTTTTGGATCTTGGAGAAAGCAGAATAACAATATGATGTTAAATGGAAAATCATCAATTGAAATTGCAAGATGGAACTTGCTATGTTTGAATTATTATTTTATTACTTATTAGCTTATATCTTTGTTGCTTATATTTAAAGAGCCTGTGTCAGTGTTCTTCTCTGCAAAGTGACAATAATAACTGCTTCAGATACTTTGTATGCTGCTATTTCCATATTTAGAGATGAACTGAGGTGATGTACATAAAGAGCTCCACACTTCTACACAGTGTTGGGCTGCATGCATACTGACAAATTGGTTGCCTACTCATGGTCATGTAGTTATATGCTATGACATTCTAAAATACCTGAGAGCATAATGAAGTTATTCAAATTGTTCCATTTCTGACAAAGCACATATTTTAAGAATAACTGCTTGTTGTATTGTTTAGAGTTTAACATGTCATCTAACACTTTCAGTTGACAACTCTCAAGGGAATAAAATAGTGTAGTCATGTGTAGTAGTTTATCTGCTTGGATGCAAATGTTTCATCACATCAGCTCTGTGTATTTGGTATTTCAGGAGCCAGTGGACATTGAGTTAAGTTACTTCACTTTGATAGACTAAAGGTGACACAGAAGTAGTTGCATTTGCACCATAATTCATTTTAAATGTTGTTGTATTTATCTGTTTCAGTTACTGGCAGAAGAGCTGCCCTTGCGCCAGGAAATTTTAAAACGATTAAATGAAACAGGAGGAACAGTACTACTAAGTACTCCAGTAAGACCAGAAGAGCGAGACAAACTAGAAAATAAGCTCAAACAGACAAATCTTCAGTGGATGAAGGTTAGACATTAACCATCTTCTCTATCACATGTGTTAAGTGTTGCAAGTGTTTGCATCTGCTTTGTTTCTTGAGTATTTTTTGGAAGGAAGCAGAAGTGTGAATTATTGTTTTGGTTTGTAACCTATGTGATTTGGCTGTATATTTTGATATAAATGCAAAGCAATTGATGATAGTGATGACTTTACATGAATGGCCAAAAGCAAAAGGTGAACCAATACTTTTTAGAAAACTTACTCCATAGGTTGAAACATTAATAAAACAATTAAGTGAAAGTGCAACTAATCAGCAAATATTGTGCCGCAGATTTACTACTTTAGGTCAAGAATATAGACGTAATTGCTAAACAATGTTTGGTAATATTCTCAAAATGTATTCAACCTTCAGCTCCCTTACTTGGAAGCCTTGGGTTTTCCACCTAGGACACACTGTAACGTTGATGTAAAATATGAAACGTTTTCAGTTTAGTGCATATTTTCGAATCAAATTCTACACAAAAATGTATGCTGCAATACAAATTATTTTGACAAAGTAGCATTTACTTATTCAAAGGAAATGTTTTCCCACTATAGAGCTGTTACAACTCTTTCATGTCAAGTAAATTTCCATGTATGAATCTGCTTAAATTTTGACTGCCCTCAACCAGTAAAACAGTAGCTCAATGACTAATCTTATAGTCTTTTTTAGTGTTCATTATCTTCTTCACTGACATAAAATTGACATTTCATAAAATGTATATATTTAAAATATATAGTTCAATAATTTTTATTATTTAAAATATTTCATTAAACATGTATATCATCAGGTTAGTCAGGTAAGCACTTTATTGGCATTGATTACAGTTATCATCATAATTATTATCTGCTCCCAAAATTTATAACCACCTTACACTACAACTCTATAGACTGCTAAAGAGATTTTTGCTTTAGACTCTGGTATCCTCTCCATCTACTGTCTATCTCTGTGATTTGCTTAGTTCAGCAATTTTTGTATAAATAGAATCATGTAGTATGTATCTCCTTGTGCCTGATTTAGTTTAATTAGCATATTTTGAGTTTCACACATGTGTTGGTAGTTTGTTGTTTACTGACTGAACAATATTAAATATATATATATATATATGTAAAGATATAAGTACAGATATTTGTATGTATACATATATGTATGTGTGTATATGTGTTTATGTATATATATGTTTATATACATAGTATGCGTATAAAGGAATATATATATATATATTCCTACCAAGTTCATTTCTGTATTTGAGAATTCTAGAGTTTGACTGTAGGTCTCTGCATGTTCTCTGATTTTTTGGTGGATGACACCCCTCTGCTGACAATTAGGCTAGGCCCCAATCAATGAGTATAGTAGAATATCATTAGGATCACTTCATAGACTTTTGTTTGTTACTTTTATTGTTTGGTTGCTGTTTTGTTTTGTTTTGTTTTGTTTTGTTTGCCAGTAGTGTTTGTTTCTGCCCTGGGTGTCTGCGGTATCTTGCCTCTGGTTCCTAGCTATCCATGCCATGCCAGAGTTGATATCCCTCTCCTGGCATGAGACTTAAGTTGGTCTAGTCATGGGTTGGCCACTCCCACAAGTTCTATGCTATCTTTGCACCAACATGTCTTTTAGTCAGGACAGGTTGTAAATCAATGTTTTGAAAAGGCCTGCTCTGATATGAAGGTTTGTTCCCAGACTTAGGTCATGTTTGGCAGGTATCCCTGGGAGACAGGGGAGGGTTGAAACAGAAGAAGAGTTTATCTGGCTAGAGAGGTGGGAGTAGTGGGAAGGACTGGGGGTATTGGAGGGAGAGGAGACTGCCATTGATATTTACTGTATGAGAGAAGAATAAATGTTCAAACACAGCAAAAAAGGCTACATTTTTCTTTGTTTGAATTTGTATTTAGTTTGTCAAATAGTACAGATTATTAGTAATTCCCATTAAAAACTAATGCAAAGATGTAGTTTGTGTTCTAGAATTAAATTAAGCCGGTAAAAAATTTCCATTTAAAACGTCAATTTTAACCAATCTTCTGGCTCTAAGCATCATGGCATCTTCTCTATCACAGCGTCTGCCAGTATGTTGTCATCATTACCTTATACAGCTCTTCTCTTAGATCCTATACTCCATCAATGTATTCTCTAGATACTCATTAACATTCAAAGATGTTCTGAGGCTTCTCCTTCACTTTTGAAAACCATTCTACTATGATATTTAGCACAGTTAATACATGCTAATATTTTTCATTATGATGTGTACAGGAAATTGTAATCCTAACAACTAGGAACTGATAAGTTCCAAGGAGATACTTAAGAACTGAAATTTTCATGAAACAAAAAAAAATGCTTCTTTCAAAGTGGCACAATTACCTCTAAAATATGCTTGTCTCATCAACAGCCAACTAAATGGAGAGGTATGTGGAAGTTTCACTAAACAAAACTCTGTTGTTTGAAAAGAAAATAATTGAAACTTCATTTCAAATTGTGTCAGGTTATTTATTGTAATCTAAAGTTATGTTTCTGTATTTTCTGTAACAGATTATTTCCATGACTGATTTCCCCATTTTTTAAGTGGATTACTTGGTTTGCTGCTATTCAGCTTGTTTAGTTCTTTATATATACTGGATATGAGTCCTCTGTCAGATAAAGGGTTGGTGAAGATTCTTTCCCAATCTGTAGGCAGTCACTTTGTTTTGATGACAGTGTCCTTTGCTTTACAGAATCTTTTCAGTTTCATGAGGTCCCATTTATTGATTGTTGCTCTTAGAGCCTGTGCTGCTGGTGTTCTATTCAGGAAGTTTTCTCCTGTACCAATGAGTTCTAGGGTAGTCCCCACTTTTTTTTTTCTAGCTGATTTAATGTGTCTGGTTTTATGTTGAGGTCTTTGATCCACTTGGACTTCAGTTTTGTGCAGGGTGATAAGTATGGATCTATTTTCATTTTTCTACATGTAGACATCCAGTTGGACCAGCACCATTTGTTGAAGATGCTATCTTTTTTCCATTGTATGGTTTTGGCATCTTTGTCAAAGATCAGGTGTCCATAAGTGTGTGGGTTTATTTCTGGGTCCTCTGTTCGGTTCCATTGATCCACCATTCTGTTTCTATGCCAGTACCATGCAGTTTTTAAAACTGTTGCTCTATAGTACAACTTGAGATCAGGGATGGAGATACCTCCAGAAGATCTTTTATTGTAGAGTATTGTTTTAGCAATTCTGGGATTTTTGTTATTCCATATTAAGTTGAAATGAGACAATCCCTCTAAGCAGTGCAGCCTTGCCAGGCCACAATGGAAGACAATGAACTCAGTCCTGTTGAGACCTGATAGGCTAGGGTCAGATAGAATAGAAGGAGATCCTCCCCTATTAGTGGACTAGGAGAGGGGTATAGGGGGATATGAGGGAAGGAGGGTACAATTGGGAGGAACCAAGGGAGGGGACCACAGTCAGGATACAAAGTGAATAAATTGTATCAAATAATAATAATTAATAAACATTAAAAATCGTGTTGTACAAAAAAAAAAAAAAAAAAAAAAAAAACAGGGCTAGACGAAAGGGGAGGCGGTCCTGCCCAATTTGTGGACTTGGAAAGGGGCAGGGAGAAGCTGAGGGAGAGAAGGTGGGATTGGGAAGGAATAAGGGAACGGGATACAGCTGGGATACAGAGTTAATAAAATGTAACTAATAATAATAAACAATAATAAAAAAGAGAAAAAAGAAAGAAAGTAGATATCTGAAAACAACATTTATTTTTGAGATATCATATTTCCTCTCAGTAATGTGAATGATCACAGTAAACATTTTTTTCTGGAGTTATTTCTTAATGAAACATAAAAAGTTTGTTTAATAATCTCAAAATATCTACAAAAACATAGATACATGCTTTTAGTGTGAGATATTAGTAATTCAAATTTTGTAGTTTAAAATAACATACAGGAAATATTTACTATAAGAGGGTAAATATCTCAAAATGTTACATAATATCTAGTACAACTTGAGATCACAAAAGGAATAGAAAATTATGATAGGAAATGAGAGATAAAAAAAATACATCTTTGGATTGTGAGACAAGGTTTTACCACTTCTACAAAATAATAAAATTTCATCTTTTTTATTAAGAAATGAAAATTAAGACAACCATTTGGTATTTATTTATACTGATACAAAACAATAGTATCTTTCTACTAGATTTCAAATGATTAATGCCTTACCTTTGAATAAATTACAAATTTAACATACAAGTCTAGGTTTTCAGTAATGAAACACAGCTGATAGATTGCTGAGAGACACTTGTGAACATTTATTAATTTTGAAGTTTCAAGGCATATAGGAAAGAGTAGAAATCCCTCCCTCTATTTTCTGTTTATTTCCTGCTCTAAAAGGTTAGAGTGGATAGTGCACTAAGAACTTTTAGATCACGTTTATAAAGTACCACATATGTCTATTCCTTAGCAGATGTCCCACAAAATTCCCTAATGAAAAGTGAAAATTCTGTGGTGTTTCATTCTGCACATGTAGACAAACTGCTAAGTACTTGCATACCATTACATTGCAATGCCAACATAAAAAAAAAGGAGTAACAGGAGGCAGGCTGTACAATGTTTCTTGATATATATATGAAAATTTCCTAATAAGCCCACCATAATGTGATAACATAAATGAAAAATTAATTTCATACACATATTATATTTCATAGCTTAATCTTTTATGAACAAAATACCTGGAAGCACTTGCATTAGGCTTCATTAGATGAAATAACCTGAAATAAAACCTATAATACAATAACCTGTTGAATATAGCATATACTTTTGAGTATTAAACCACAAGTAAAAAAATGGCTGTGTGAATACACTTTTAAAAGACTGTAGTAAAGAAATCCTCCTCTGTGGCCTAACAGGACTGCTCCTCCCTTGGGGGGTAGGGAGGTCAAAGAGCCAGTCATTCAGTTCCTGTTAGAAATAGTCCTTGTTCCCCTCACTATGGGAAACCAATTGGTTACTGAGC